AAGAGTGTTGGACTGGATGGGCCATTGGCCTGGTCCAACACTGGCATCTCTTATGTCGGGCTTTAAAGGTCAAAGCCAGCACCTTGAATTGTAACTGTTGCCGTAGCAAGGTCACATAACCTGTTCCCCGCTGTTTATGAACTGCCAGCTAATTACACTAATTACACTAAATGGAAAAAAATGGCCAATCCAGGGAACACACAAAGCGGCCATGCTGGGTGGGGACAATCGGACCCTGTTTGACCGGCAGAGAGGTCTTGCCCCAAGCTGATCTCGGAGCCTACCAATCACGTGCTCTCAGTCACTGCAGCCTATCCTCCGTCTCAACCCTGCGGGAAGGGGGGCAGAGAGTGTACAGCCTCAGGAAAAGGTGAGGAGAAAAATAATGTCCCATTAAAAGATAGACAAAACAATTACGAAACGATGTCGGACTTACCTCTTTCGTCGCCCACTGAAATCCAGCCACCACGCTGTCTTTGATTTCGTTGAGGTACTGGACACCCTTTGTGATGTCCACCAAAATATTGGGGCCTGTCCCATCGGGGCCAAAGCACCAGATCTTCCGGGCTTCGGACACGTCCCATTCGTACTTCTCCGCCAGGTACCGAGCCCGCTGCTTCAGCTCTTGGCGGGAGCTGACGTCTCCTTTGTCGATGTCTTCCGCCAACCCGTCAGGGAACGGGCGGGCTTTCATGTACAGCCGGTTATGCTTGTTGGGGGATTTGGACAAGCACATCTGGACCGACTCTTCGCACACCGTCTCTCGGTAAGATACGACCGGGTCGGATTTCTGCAACATGACAAATGATCCATCAGATAAACACATTCCCTCTTGTGTGTTTGTTATCTGCTAAAATCAACCAATCTTTGTTTTCCACCCTATTCAGAGAGGATTTTGGAAGTCTAACAAGTGAAAGAATAAGAACATAAGAGACCCCTGGATCAGATGGCTGCTGGATCAGACGAGTGGTCCACCTAGTTCAGCAACCTGTCTCAGACAGTGGCCAACCAGTTCCTCTGGAGAGACAATGACAGGGCATAGAGGCCAAGGCCCCCTGATAAGAACCTAAGAAGAGCTCTGTTGGATCAGACCAATAATCCATCTAGTCCAGCATCCTGATCTACATAGGACAACAATGGTCCATCTAGTCCAGCATCTTGTCTCACTCAGTGGCCAACCAGTTCCTCTGGAGAGACAACAACAGGGCAGAGGGGCCAAGGCCTTCCCCTGATAAGAACCTAAGAAGAGCTCTGCTGGATCAGACCAATAATCCATCTAGTCCAGCATCCTGATCTACATAGGACAACAATGGTCCATCTAGTCCAGCATCCTGTCTCACTCAGTGGCCAACCAGTTCCTCTGGAGAGACAACAACAGGGCAGAGGGGCCAAGGCCTTCCCCTGATAAGAACCTAAGAAGAGCTCTGCTGGATCAGACCAATAATCCATCTAGTCCAGCATCCTGATCTACATAGGACAACAATGGTCCATCTAGTCCAGCATCCTGTCCCACTCAGTGGCCAACCAGTTCCCCTGGTGGGCTAACAAGAGGGCACAAGGAATCTAGTCTTTCCCCTATACACAAACACATTGTTCTACACAAAGCAGGCCCTTGATCTGGAGCCCCTGTGGCATAGGATACTCTACCCCACAGAGAGAGACAGAGGGACATCACTTAAGGTACGTACTGTGCACTGCAAATTTTACTGCCCCTGCAACATAGGCACATGAGATCAACCTTCTACTCAGTTACTTGTATGAGTAACACAGAAAACGCAGCAAGTTAGAAGCCACTTCAGCAAAGCTGTAGACTTGTTTCCTGGAGTGTTATTCTGCCAGTGGTGCCTTCCACGCGTGAGCTATATAAGCAAATGAAATCCACAAAGACTATGGCGTAAGGAGATGAGGTGCAAGCCAACCGGAAGTGGGTTTGCGGCAGCGTAACTGCTACGAATCAGCAGAACAAAGTTTGAGTCCAGTGGGGCACCTTTAAGACCAACAAAGCTGTATTCTGAGCGGTGTTCCCTCTAAGCTGTGTGAGCTAGCTCACAGTTTGTTAGCCTCCGGCTCACACGTTTTTGTCTTAGCTCAGGAAGGAGGGTTCCAGGGCAAACTAATTCATGCAGCAGCCAAATCGCTCGCTCACAACTTTAATGCCAGTAGCTCACAGGGTAGAATTTTTGCTCACAGGACTCCACAGCTTGGAGGGAGCACTGATTCTGAGCATAAGCTTGTGTGTGTGTGCACGATGGAGAAGTGTGCATGCACACAAAGGTCTATGCTTTGTTGGTCTTAAAGGTGCCCCACTGGACTCAAACTGTGTCCTGTTGCTTCAGACCAACGCGGCTACCCCACCTGAAATGAATCACAACTGGACAAGACACAAATTGCAATTGAGCCGTTTGGCATGTGCACCCCACAATCAGGAACTACGGAGTTTATACTTATTTCATATGCCGTTTTGAGAAACTGAGAAGGCTACCAGATAAAACAATAAAAACCCACCAAACAATTAAGATTTGAAAAGGCAGCAGCATTCTTCAGTTGACGCCCAACAGAAGGGACTTTTGTCCTCTCAGCCATGAGAACTCGGGGGTACCCAAATACATAAAATGTTAATGGAAATACTAAATGTAGATGTACCCTTGACACGAGAATTTTTCCTGTTAAATATTATACCAGGCAGTTGTACGAAAGAAGATTGGTATTTAATAACCTATATCCTAACAACTGCTAGAATATTGTTTGCAAAGAATTGGAAACTAGATTGGCTCCCTTCAAGAGAAGAACTAATCTTGAAACTGTTGGAAATGGCTGAAATGGACAGATTATCTATGATAATACAAGGAAAAGATGAAGAGTTGTACAATAAAAGGTGGATGAGAATGTAAAGGTAAAGGTTCCCTTGCTCGAAAGCCAGTCGAATCCGACTCTAGGGTTGCGGTGCCCATCTCAGTTTCAAAGCCGAAGAGCCAGCGCTGTCCGAAGACGTTTCCGTGGTCATGTGGCCGGCATGACTAGATGCCGAGGCGCACGCGACGCTGTTACCTTCCCACCGAAGTGGTACCTATTTATCTACTTGCAATTTCTTGCTTTCGAACTTTACCTTCCCACCGAAGCAGTACCTATTTATCTACTTGCAATTTCTTGCTTTCGAACTGCTAGGTTGGCAGGAGCGGGAACCAGAGATGGGAGCTCACTCCGTCATGCGGCACCCGGGTCTCGAACTGCTGAACTACCGGCCTTCCACAGCCTGCAGTTCAGCGTCTTAACCACTTAAGCCACCGCAGCTCCAGATGAGAATGTATACATGGATAAATAATAAGTTCTATCTATAGACTCATAATATACTAAAAACAGTATTGTTTTACATGTAATAATATGAAAATTCAATAAATAATAAAGGGAAGAAGACAAAAAAAGAACTTGGGAGCATTGCTCCCTCTAAGCTGTGGAGTTTTCTGTGCAAAAATTCTACTTTGTGAGCTACTGGCATTAATGTTGTGAGCAAGCGATTTCGCTCCTGCATAAATGAGTTTGCTCTGGAGCCCTCCTTCCTGCGCTGAGACAGAAACGTAGCAGCCGGAGGCTAAAAAACTGAGTTAGCTCACACTAACTCAGCTTAGAGGGAACACTGGGCAGCAGGTTCAGGACAGAGGAAAGGAAACCCTTAATTACTCAAGGGGAAATTAAATTGTGGAACTCACTGCCAGTGGTGATGGCCGCAACCATGTTTTTGAAAGGGGAGCTGGACAGATCCATGGAGAAGGGGTCCTCCAATGACTGCAAACAATTAACAACAGCTAACCTCTGCGCTCTGTTGGCCCTCTGGGTCAACTGGTTGGCCACTGTGTGAAACAGGATGCCGAAGTGGATGGACCACTAGTCTGATTTGGCAGGGCTGTTGCTATGTCTTCACTGATGGCGTCTGAGAGGGAAGGACCAGGCGGCAGCACCCGTTTCCTGTTTCACTCCAATGAGCATCTTATGCCGTGAGCAGTTTGATGAGACACCCACT